AAATCATAATAATAATTTTTAAGAATCTTCCTGTCCTTTCATAAATTCAATTATAAAATAACCTTAATAAGAATGAACTTTTAAAACCAGTTTATTCTTGAATTAAAATTCTGCTTTTGTATTTACCTACTAATTTCTTGATCGAGTAGAGCCAAGGCAAGGAGAAGTTGTTTTGTATATTTATCACATGCATTTTTCTGTATAGCATTTCCCCTGTTTAAACAGAGCTTTCACAAAAAAAATTGCAGGTGGAAAAGTATTTTTAAACATACCTTGGAAATAATTGCAGAAAGAATAATAAAAAAAATCAGATAATAGGGTCAAATGGGTTTGACATCCAGTGACCTTTTAACCATGGTTCTGTACACAACAGAAAATGTTATCACCTGCACGTAAAAAGAATGCTACAATACAAATATATCGGTTACATTTGCTAGCTTTGATTTGACATTTTACTGCTATACATGTGTGCTGTATGAGCCTATGAGTATTGGCTAAGCCATTCAGAAAAAAACATGGCCAGAGCATAGCAGTAAGCATGCCACCAGACCCCTTTGTATCAGAAAACGTCTGTACTGAAGACCAAGAACAGCCACAATGGAAAGAATTAGGTTAAAACATAGCTGACTCGAACATTTGTCTGAGCTGAGCAGAAGGCAAGTAAGCTACGTTGAACTTTCCTTTAACAGTTCTGTCAGGGTATCATCAGCCTCACCAAGCCGCACGCTGCTATTACAGACCACAGATTTGCCTAAACAGAGCTGTCAAACACAGCAAATTATGTTGTGTTCTGCTCTCTGAGAAGATGCTCAAAGCAAGAGGGTGCCAAACTTGTTTCAGTTCTTCAAGCGTGTTACATTTAACACTAAGAACAATTATCACTCATGGTGGTGTGTTGCTTATTTTTTCTTGCAAGGCAAAAGCCAAGAACAACCTAACTTCTGTGTATGGGTCCTGAAATCTAAACACTGACTTAGCTCTGTCTGTAGCACCACCAAGAGCCCGTTACTCACCGTGTAACAGCAGTGTTCGTTAATGATGACTCTATTAGAGAAGGTTTCATTGTAGGCTTCTATATGCAAAGTCCTTTCTCGTCTGTTCAAAGAATTCTTCTGGACAAAGTAGACATAATCCACTCCTGCAATCTAAGGAAGATGACGTAGATTCCGTTAAGATACAATATTCACTTGAAAGGATACCCAAAAGTATAAACAGGCACTTCAAACCTAATCACCTTTTTCAATAGCCGTGGTGCATCTATATCCAGCTTACAGCGCCGTTCAATCACATGGATAGCTTCATCCTCACTCTTGTATTCGTTTACAGTGTCACTGGCTACAAACATAGGGATCAGAGGACATGTAGGAAACCTCCTTTCATATGCCTATAAAGATGGAAAGAGAAGAAAACAAACTATCATCACAATTAATTCCTGAGGGTGTGCATATGGTTCCTTCACTGACATCACCAGCATTTGGAGGCACAATGCCCTTCATACCTTTTGTAGAGGAGATTGAGCCTTCCTTCAGTCCACATTATAGCTGAGAAAAGTCACGTGCATTCCAAACAATCCATTTATTAATACGTTCCTAACATAGCCCTTTCCAGGTAAAACGATGTTTAAAACAACACACGAAATACCCCATTTCTCCCTCCCTCCAAAAAGGAAATTGTTCGTTATGTACAGTGACCATCCTCTTGTCAGCAATAACAGGAAAATAAGACCCTCTAGTTCTAAAATACCAGAAGACAAAACAATTATGTGTTGGATTAAAAAACCCACATGCTAATTATCAGTGTTTCACCAAGCTGTCTAGAGAGTTTTCCACACAGCTCCCAAAGGTTTACTAACAACATTTCAAAGCCTGTTTCTTAAGCTAATAGAGGTCTCAAGCTTTCTATGCACAGAGTATTCATAATGATTTCACTGCACAGTTTATCAGCTTACAATTTTGTCCAACAACATGTGGTAAGTCTTCCCAATACAATGAGGCCATTTCATACTTTTGAAAATTCAAACTTTTTGCAATAATGCAGAGCTAGCAATAGCTTTGATTCTGGTTAAAGAATATAGTTGTGTAAATAAGTTCATCTCTTAAATACTTGACACACACAGGGAAAATGGTATTAAATCAGCCACGTGTAAATAAGTTCATCTCTTAAATACTTGAAGGATAGTTAAGAATCTGGGATCAGTAAAACAGGTAAGAGGACAATGGGAGTTATCCCCATTAGTAAACTTGTTGAATTTTAGTTTTAGAACTACCATGGCTGGAGAATACAACACAACTGGTTTGTTTTTTTTTTTTCCTTTTCTTTCATAGTCACTAGCTTACGTCCACTTCTCCTTGGCTTTTTTTCCTCATGGGTGGCAGTAAAGTAACTAATTCTTTAGCCTTCTTTCCAAATTCTGAATTTTCATTTTTGCTATTATAAGAACCTAGTTGGCTTTGGTGAAAAGGTAGGATTTACAAGGTGTCCCAATGCAGAAGAAAACTTCAGTAACATAAAGTAAATTTGAGAGCAGAACATGAAACAATTCTTTAAAAGAGCTAAAACATCCACTGTCCTTTTAAATAACTAACTGCTCTCCCTATAGCTGGGTTGCAGCACAGGAACAGCAAAACAGGGAGAGGGTGTGGAAGAAAATAAGCAGCAGCTGCAGAAAGTATGCAATGGTAGCACTGGAAGAGAAAAGGTCTCTTAATTCTCCCTTTATAAGAATAAAAATACTTAGTTTGAACACAGTGTTACTATGGTGACAGCAGTGCAATGCACTAACAGTGTCAGCTTTTTTCCCATCGTGCATACTTTTTAACCATTTTTGCAGCATGATTGTCCTGAGTTCATAAAGCTCCTCTGTAACATACCAGAAGTACAACCAGTGAATGAGTACACATGCTCCTTTTTTCAGACTTTTCATCTGTGCACAGCTGGTTTTGTTTAAATTAAGAACAGAAATAATTTCTGGGTTCAGAGATGTGTGGACAATAGAAGTCACAGAGCATTAGTGTTGTAACGCAATAGCAAGCAGTGGGCAAAAAACCTTTCACAGCTCCAACAGAAGGAAGGATGGGTCCTATTAGTATGATATAGTAAGTTTCTTATTTCTTTTATGAGGCTTTTGTTGTTCTGGACAGAAGGCTGTACATTTTACAGTCATTCTTTCTAAATTAATCCCTATTTTAACTATATTGACAGTAGTTAAATGTTGTCCTAAGTCAGAAAAAGAAAAGAATTCCAGAAGAAACAGAATTGAGAAGTACTTCTGGATTTCAGATTGCTTCATCTAATATTTTTATTTGGACCTTATGTTACAACAATTATTTTATGGACAGGAGAGATGGGAAAGTAGGTATCTAACATTCTTCTCACTATTTTAGAAGTATTTTTACTTTTGGATCACAATGAATTTTCCCCATCTGAGTAGCCTCCTCTATGCCAAGCCTTTGCAAGTCTCCTTCATTGCACGTATTGATGCATTTCTCATCCTAGTCCTCAAAATGCTTCCCATTTGCCCTGTGAACACTTGCAAATTACAACATTACCTGCTGAGAAGTGTTTATTGCACTGTGAGCAAAAAAAACCGCCCAAGAAGAATTTGTTGTTCTGAATGGGAAGACCGAATTGAATGTGCTCAATTTGGAAGAGAACAAAATAATTACCTTGCCAAAAGTTGGCAAGCTCAATGCTTACAGCAACAAAGTACTTGAAGGTTTCAAAGAGATTAAACAGCAACACAGGATTCTTTCTTCCCTAAAGAACATGCACAGAGTATTGAAGACTGTTCACAGTCAATTTTATTGGGCTCTTAAATTAGGCTGGTTTTATTTCTTTAGGTACCATTGCCAATATGTTCTTGTAATGCATCATTTCTCAGCACAGCCTTGTTTGAAGAAAAAGTGATTATAGTAAACCGTAGCCACATCAAAATATTCGATCTGGTTTAAGCATAGCTGTCTCTTCCACATGTGGCAAACAGTTCTCTTCCACACTGCAGAGGAGGCAGGAAAAAGCTGCTAAAGACTATAGGACACTCAAAGATCTCACTTCACCATGGACCAACACAGCACAGGAAGAAAACCTGTAATTTGTGGTACAACACAAAAAGAGACACAAGTCAAAGCAGCACATGCATCGCCAAGACTGGAGCTATTAAAAGAGCACGAGAAGATTAAAGAAAGATCAAATGCTTTTTCTTTTCTAATAATAGAATTGAATGGATTTTTCTACATCATTGGGGTGTTCTGAACCAGAAATTTTGTCTCAAGTCCAGCTTTGCAGACAGGAGAAAACTGCATTATCCAATATTCCTTTAGCAGTCTGATAAAGCAGAGTATATTATAAAATGCTACACGTTCTTCCTGTATGATAGGTCTCTTCACAAAAAATCATTAGATATTATACACCCTTCTCTCAGGGTTTCAATTGTACTATATAGATACAATCACAAAAGACAATTAGTTCCTCAAAAGCAAAGCAGCTGCAATAATCCTGATGGACTCAATGCGAGAGTGAAATGCTGTTGCTATAGGATTAAGTGCATCTAAAGAGGATGTTGCAAGGACATTACTTAATTTTACCATTTTCTTCTGTCACATTGAAAAAATACGTTGTGTGGAGATTCTGATATGTAACACAAGTAAAAAACACAGGCGTGTTCATCCTCAAAACCTCTAAAACTGGTGCTGGGCTTGACATGAAAAGTCGCAACGCCTCTTCAGCTAAGAGAGACATCCATGTACAGACCTTTCAAAAAAATGATTTTAAGCCTGCAATTCTGTTGTTCCCCAATAAAGTACTTTTACAATTTCCCACTAGCCTCTGGAACATTGGTGTACTCCGATATATTAGAAGCTGGCATTGTGCATCAAGAAAAACACAGTATGGTGAAGCAGCTTGAACTTCAAATTTAATGGGCTCATTATATAAACCCTTAACTTTCTTAATGCATGTTAACAGTAAGAACACTGACAAGCATAATTCCAACCAAAATAGCACTGTATTAAAGCTTCTTTTCCAACTGCTTCCCTTAGCAACTCATGTTCAGAGTAGAGTCAAAATAACAGGATTTTACTTTTATCTTTGCTAGTATTTCAGCTGTGTTTAAAGACATGAAAGCAATTCAAGTGAGACTATTTTAAACACACTGCAGTCATTTTTCATACCCAAGGGAATTATACTTGCTGCTGCTGCCCTTAGATTTTGGGATTCTAGTATCAGCAATAACAGGATCCTTTCAAAATACCACCTTTAGAACAGGATTTAGCTATGACCCCAACCCAATTTTCAGGAGGACCAAAGGCTATGTTCTGGCTTTTTGCTTCTCAAACCATGCCTAGGGCTAATAAAATACCTTCATAATAGGTACATGCTCAGTCCTCAGTGGAGAAAGTCAGTCATTTATGCAAGTAAGTTACTCAGCTTCTCTAGCCAGATTAATACATATTCCCAGTCTCCTGCCTTAAAGGATAGGGATTGTTCAGTATTTCCATTAGATGACTCAAAACTAATTTCTATGCTTACAAGAAGAAAAAAGATCTAACAAAACTTGCAAGCAATCTTACACTGTGCTGTTATTCTTATAGTAGCCGAATCCTTCAAATAGAACTTCTAACTTTCATTCAGAAAATGAAGCATATTGAGTGCTTTCTTAATAGCTTAATTGCATGAAACAAGTTGTGAAGATGATTTTTTTTAGATGTTTTCTGTTCAAAATTGCTAGAAGAGTAACCTTCTAAAAGTAGCACAACATTCTCCAAGGACATCTCAAGAGAACACATGAAAAGATTCATCCTGGCAATCAAATCTAGTCCGCTGCATTTTGTGCGCACCACATATAAACTTCATTTTCTGTCTGCAATACCTGACCATGTTTGGGTATTAATCTGCAAGTGCATACCAACATTCACCATGCTTTCCTATCCACTTGGAGTATGTGGAATTTCTGAATTATTCCTAAACACACAAGAAACAAGAAGGGTCACTCAAGCAGGATGCTGCCCTAGCTTGACAGGCTTCATTCCAGCAGCTTGATCGTTCCTGCACACCACTGTATCCCCTTTCTCCCCCTGCATTAGAGCACTGTAGATCAATAGGAAAAACATTGAGTCATGGGAGGCCAACCAAGAGGCTTCAAATTCTTGGCAGCTGCATTTGGAAAGAAACAATTCTGGATTAACTCTTGCAAATCAGCAAATACCTTCTCATCCCCCATATACTGCTGTTCATAGCTCTCTACCATTCTCTTTATAATACATATATATGTTTAAAAGTCATTATACTTCTACAAAGAAGTGTGTACCTCGGTGTCAGTATATCTCATGGATGTTAGTTCACGTGTCAGTAATCGGCTCGAGGGCATGTATGTGGAAGAGAGCAGAT